AATTAAGTAAGAAATTTCTATATAAATCCATAGATAATTGGAGTTTTTGGTAGCCTACACCCACTCCTGACACCAGACTATTATCTTTATCTCTTTATAAAATTCTTAGAATGTCAATCTTTCGATGGGTGGATCTTCTTTTGTGATCTTTCTCCTTTTCTAAAACAATAGGTCACCTCTATTTGACCTTCGTATGCATATATATGAGTGTGTTTGTATGTATGTGTGTGCAAATATAAATCGTCGACCCTTCGACCTTATCGTTTTTGAAGGAGTTAAGAAGGGAACAGGTTCACCCTTACTGGGTATTGCACCCTGAAAAGTATGCCCTTGATTCTTTCTACGAATGAATGAATTCGTTTCAATTATCAATCCTTATTATAATTTATATTATATATATATATATATATATATATTATTATGCAACATTGCTATTTTAAACTACGTACAGTACATTCAATACTTTGACCTAGAATGTTACTTTGCTCTAAAAATAATTAATATTCTATATGTTATATTTATAAAAATCTTGAATATTTCGTAATGAAATTAAACCTGTTTAAGCCGGACTCACACGATATAAAGAATATTTATTCCCGGTTTGGCCGGTTCCTATATTTAACGCAGAAAATCACTCCGTTCCAAAGAATTTCTTTTCCGTTTAGGCAGGTTTTCGTTTTACCCAGGTTCCGTTTTAGACAGGTTTTACTGTATTTAATTTTCTATTAAGAAAATCGTGCAGTAGTGAATTAAACAGTAAATTCTATTGTTTTTTATGCTTTGCGACTCGGTTGTTTTTCACAACATTTCCTTTTGAAAAAAAAATAAAACATAGAAAAACCTCTAAAAAACGGCCAATTTCGAACAGTGGCCATTTTTTTACGTTCCTGACATTGGCCGTTGTTCAGAGGTTTGCCTGTTAAATATGTCTTTCACATGCTACAGCAGCTTAGTACACTTGAGGCTGGATTTAGACTGTAATAGGCTATATATATAAGAGGCACTAAAATGTATCCTCGTAGAGTAAGATCTTATGTCTTCATACAATGAAGACTCAAATAGAAAGCTTATAGCTTTTCATAGCTAATAGAATGAGGTTGTAAGCTTTCACCTCGAGAATAAAGCTCTAAACCCTATCCTTATAAGAGACTATGAGCTTTCTACTTATAAACTCTGAATACAACCTCATATAAAGTGAGGTTGTATTCTTCGTAGAGTGAGGCCCTACACTTACCTAGTTTAACACGTGTAAATCCAACTCCGAATTTAAAAAGCGAGCCTAGAAAGCCGTGCCTTGTCATAACAATTCACATAATTGTTTAATAAATAAAAACTATATATATATATAATTCTAATAATAACAACAAGAAAGCTATAAAATAAAGAATTCTTAAAAATAAATTTCCTGTTTTACAACTTAAAATTAGCAATTTAAATGAAACCCGAGGGCATAATTAATCAACTTCACTCTTCTTGTATTTTTTTGTAGTCCACGTTAGAGAGTTTATTTAACTGTAAAATTTGCATAAAAATTCTTCTAGATTTACTAATTTTAATTTACAAAGCTGTTAGATAAGCTAGAACCTGTGTAAAAAAGTAAAAATTGTATATATAGAGGCCTAGATAAACCCCTTCTGGTATCATTAAGTGAGGGGTGGAGATAGAACTTTAATACCTTTCACCAACCTGGCACAAGTCGTTGGAGTGTGAAGCTGTAAAAATGATACACTTAACGTGTGTGCCTGTCTGTTTAACTCCCTTTTCTGATAGTTAAGTGTGAAATAACCTATTTAATTCTATTTTTTTTTTTCCTTTCCCTAATTGTATAACTTAATTGTCCATTTTTTTGCTTCAACGGATCGTACAGCATTGTGTTTTTCGGTTTTAAGTATATAAAACTGTTGTTTATTGGTTTAGAAGAAGGAATTTTATTGGTTTTTTTTTCTTTTTACTTTCTCGGAGGTTTCATTCGCTGCTTAGTGAACTGTGATGCCTTGTTTGTTAGCCAAGTGTGAGAGTGAATTTCGGTGTGACAAGAAATCTTTATACCTTACTTAAATGATTAAAAATTTTACATTTGTTGTGAAATTATAGGAAATTTTCCATTGTTTAAGTCGAACTTCTCAATAACGGCCGCCTCCCAAACTAGGAAATGCATACAAAATAACCTCCTAACAACGGCTATTGTTTTATGTACGTTGTTCAGAGGTTTCACTGTATGTAAATTCTTTTGAGGACGTCTTCTTTAAACCTATTCCTTACTTTTTTAATGAGTTTTTATCCTTAAAACTTCAATTTTCGCTTAAAAATCATTGGTGATGATTCTTTAGAGTAATGTTTAAGGTTTCTTCGTCCTTAATTCGAGAATTATGATCCTTAATAATAAATATTTATGTGTTTCCTATTCATGGATCTCAATCAATTAGGAAAGTTGTAAATCCTTTAATCAGAGAATAAATTCTTCTCTAAGCAAGGATTGAAATCCTTAAGTTACTCATTACAAGCTTCACTCTCAGCCCATCAGAAACCAATGTATCTTATTCAAATTCTTTTCAATAAATACTCATCAGTAAACATTTAATTCCCTAAAATAATTTAAAACTGAGTAACATATTTAATTCTTCATAAATAATCTTTATCCCTAAAGTATACATCTCCCCATTAAACCGGCAATGTAAACTTATCAAAATTTATAGACCCATAAAACTGTAGACAAGAGGCCATACAGCAGGCATTTCTGCGTATAGAAATCAAGTTTAACTTGTACTACGTAAAATTCAAGAAAATAAAAGTAAAAATTTTTAAAGATAAACACGTTAATTGATAGCAATTTTCATATATTAAAAGGTTTATTTACATAATTTTGAATATTACAAGTTATTAAAGATTGAATGTGAGATAAAAAACTTGTTTCATGCCGAATTTCTTGCAAGTAGAGCTTGCTGCATTTAGAACTTGCTACACATAGTTTGCTGCACTTAGAACTTGCTACACATAGTTTGCTGCATTTAGAACTTGCTACACATAGTTTGCTGCATTTAGAACTTGCTACACATAGTTTGCTGCATTTAGAACTTGCTACACATAGTTTGCTGCATTTAGAACTTGCTACACATAGTTTGCTGCATTTAGAACTTGCTACACATAGTTTGCTGCATTTAGAACTTGCTACACATAGTTTGCTGCATTTAGAACTTGCTACACATAGTTTGCTGCATTTAGAACTTGCTACACATAGTTTGCTGCATTTAGAACTTGCTACACATAGTTTGCTGCATTTAGAACTTGCTACACATAGTTTGCTGCATTTAGAACTTGCTACACATAGTTTGCTGCATTTAGAACTTGCTACACATAGTTTGCTGCATTTAGAACTTGCTACACATAGTTTGCTGCATTTAGAACTTGCTACACATAGTTTGCTGCATTTAGAACTTGCTACACATAGTTTGCTGCATTTAGAACTTGCTACACATAGTTTGCTGCATTTAGAACTTGCTACACATAGTTTGCTGCATTTAGAACTTGCTACACATAGTTTGCTGCATTTAGAACTTGCTACACATAGTTTGCTGCATTTAGAACTTGCTACACATAGTTTGCTGCATTTAGAACTTGCTACACATAGTTTGCTGCATTTAGAACTTGCTACACATAGTTTGCTGCATTTAGAACTTGCTACACATAGTTTGCTGCATTTAGAACTTGCTACACATAGTTTGCTGCATTTAGAACTTGCTACACATAGTTTGCTGCATTTAGAACTTGCTACACATAGTTTGCTGCATTTAGAACTTGCTACACATAGTTTGCTGCATTTAGAACTTGCTACACATAGTTTGCTGCATTTAGAACTTGCTACACATAGTTTGCTGCATTTAGAACTTGCTACACATAGTTTGCTGCATTTAGAACTTGCTACACATAGTTTGCTGCATTTAGAACTTGCTACACATAGTTTGCTGCATTTAGAACTTGCTACACATAGTTTGCTGCATTTAGAACTTGCTACACATAGTTTGCTGCATTTAGAACTTGCTACACATAGTTTGCTGCATTTAGAACTTGCTACACATAGTTTGCTGCATTTAGAACTTGCTACACATAGTTTGCTGCATTTAGAACTTGCTACACATAGTTTGCTGCATTTAGAACTTGCTACACATAGTTTGCTGCATTTAGAACTTGCTACACATAGTTTGCTGCATTTAGAACTTGCTACACATAGTTTGCTGCATTTAGAACTTGCTACACATAGTTTGCTGCATTTAGAACTTNAGTTTTTTTAAAGTGAAAATTAATAATTTTTCATATTATAAAACAATTTTGTAATACCATATTACAACATTTCGTGGCTTTGTAATATATTAAATGGATTTAAATATGATTAATAAATTTTATAATAATAATGAATTCAACACGTTATGTATTTGACAGAACACAACCTAATGACCTATCTACACTAATGATTGTTTGTTTGTTAATTCATTTGAAAAAAAAACTGTGTTAATGGGAAGGAAAAACTTCATTTTTTTAAATTGTTTTTATGGCTGAAAAATTTCCGAGTAAAACATTTTTTTAAATTAAAAATAATTTATGTAAATAATCAAGAAAAACTGCAAATTACCCAAAAACTTGAGCTGAAAAGGACTAAAAAAAAAGCCTTTTAGGCTGAAAATTGCCCACAAAACTCCTTCTGACTTACAAATTGTAAACACTAATAAGGCCTTTTCCCCATAAGATCGTGACGTGTTCAGCTAGGCCCACGAGTTACGATCTAACCCCATCCTAAACAGATCGCCCATAAAAAATTCCTTGTATTGCACTTTTAGATTTGATCCCGGGCTCCCTAAGTGGTAGGCTGATCTCTTTGCTCGGCCATCCGGTTGTCGGGGCCTCACATTTACGAGGGCCTCAAAAATATGTTACAAATCTTGATTTTTTAAAAAAATCTTCAGATAATTTAATGAATTTTATTATTTTAATCTCCACACGAACAGGAACCCGCCATGGTGGAATCGAAGATCAAGATTGGAGAGGACCCTTTGCGGGATGTCAGTAGTTGCCCTATTGATGTTCGTAGCTATGGCCATAGCATTGGCGGTCATAGGTTATCATTACCAAAAAACAATAGGTGAGCATTCCTTCCTTAATTGATATTAAGTTCAATGAACTGGTTACGGATTTATGACTCGTGTTGTATCGCTGTAATAATCGAAATTATCGAAGAATTAGGTGAAATTTAATTAATGTGACGTTGCTTAACGCTATATTACACTATTTGTAATCTTTTCATGTATAAATTTTGATTTTTCACTGATAATTTCTCTAAAAAAATACCTCATTTGAATTTCAGATTCAAGATCAAATGACATACCATCTACCGCCGATAAGTTAATTGAGGATAGTAAAGGCAGCGAAAATTATTATTCAGATACAGCAAACATTTGCCTTACTCAAGGTTGCGTTAAAGCAGGTAAATTAATTTGAGGAAGTGAAAGCAATGAGACTAAGCAAGGTGGTTGTACTACTTTTAAAGTTCTCAACTTATCCCCTGGAGCATTCGATGTTTTTCTCTAAATTTTCAGCTTTCCTTGTTGCTCCACATGATAGAAAGTCTAAGTATCTTTCTTACAGGTTGAAATCTTTTCTGTTTTATTAAAAAAAACTAATAAGAAATGTGGATCAAACACTCGAATCAAAGTTTATGCAAAAATCTTTATTTTCCTCCAGTTTTACTGTGAATTTTCAGTTTTCCTCGTTGCTCTATATTAAAGAAACTCTCAAGTCTCTTCCTATTGATTTCAATCCTTTTTATTTTTTCTAAAAAATCTATTATTTCAGCTGGTATCTCGATAAGCATCATGGATCAAGCGTTTGATCCTAAATTCGCGTACGATCTTTTCTCTTCGAGCACTTAAGTATTTTTTAGCTTTCTTCGTTGCTTTAGATGATATAAAGTCTATAAATCACTCTTATCGATTTAAATCTTTCATATTTTATCTAAAAAATCTGTTCTTTCAGCTGATCTCTCGATAAGTAGTATGGATCAAGCACTTGATCCATGCTACTTCTTTACTGTTCTCTCCGAGCTTTCCTCGTTGCTTTACACGATAGAACGTTTATAAATCTATCTTATAGATTTAATTATTTTGTATTTTATCTAAAAATTTATATCTTTCAGCTGCTCTTCTTATAAATAACATGGATCAGACAGCAGATCCTTGCAAAGATTTCTACAAATTCTCGTGCGGAGGATGGGTGGAAAAGCAGGTCATCCCTGAAGATAAAACATCTTTATCTGTTTTTTCACTGCTTCAAGACGAACTTAATCAAAAATTAAGAGGTTTGTACAGAAATTCATACTTAATTTCAATAAAATTAATTTATAATCAACTGTTGTGGATCATGATTTAAGATCCTGTAAGAGGAAACTTAACGCTAAACTATAGGGAACTTCAGATTGTTTATCGTTATGGGTTCAAGGATTTTACATGATATTAACCTTATGATGTCAAATGGCAAGGCTAGCCATAAATACGCAAAACAAAAACACATTTAAAACCACTAAATTTTAATTAAATTATTAAAAAAATATAATAATAATTTTTTTCTTTACAGTAATGGTTGATAAACCTTTAAATGACTCCTCTCCAGATTTCATTGTCAGATTGAAAAACATGTATGAGTCTTGCATGAATTTAAGTAAGTAAATTATACGTTTTACAATAAAACAAGGTTTATTATTATTATTATTATGTGGAATATAAGAGATAAGATTATATATTTTCAAGGTTAAATCCCTATTTTTCTAACGTGGTTTATCAGGCATTTATAATTAGGAGATGCTGAGGAAAGGGGGTATGAATCCGTAATTATCATTCGCCATTTATCAGTAATAGAATGGTTATTTCTTTAAGAATTGAAGTTATCCTTGATGAATTCTCAGAAGGATCTTGTTGTTTGCTACAAAAGTCATCACGATGTGTAATGACACGTCTTCATTTTCCTACTGTGGCGCAAAAACTTATCATTATAATTGTCTTGCGAGCTTCTCTGATTGTTCTTTCAGCATTTTTTTGTTTTTTTTATTCAAAATTGAAAATTATGGTCCACTGTTTATCATTTTAACATAATAAATAATCACATTGATCAATACAAGATAAGATAAACTGGTCTTGTACACACTACTGCACGAAACAAAGCGGGTTCTTTCAGGAAAACTTGACATAAAATACAGTAAACCACCCTTCCCTCTAAAAACGGTTTAAGTTGATCGAATTTCATTAAAAAAAAATTCGAGTCTTTCTACCGTAAAATGCAAGAAAACTAAGTAAATTGCCATTTTCCGGTAGTATAATTCGGTGTTTTTTTGCTCACTTAAGGAAGAATTATTAAGAAAATAATGGGTAAAGTTTGTAGAATTAATGATAAAACTGGCGATCTGTATAACGCCAGACATGCAGACAGACAAAACAGGAAAATTCTCCTGTAGGGATACTAATAATAGAAAAACCATTAACAGATGTGGTTTACTTGAAGTCGTGGTTGATTTATAGGTGAGTCAGTAATTAAAACACCTCGAAGTTGCCGAAATTTAGTTTAAAATGAATAAATTAGAAAAAAAAATAATTTTAAACAATGGTTTACTGAATTATTTTAGGCAATTTATTGTTTAAAATGTCCATAAAATTTTAGTTGTATGCTCAGATTTTTACATTTCTAGCTATTACACATAAAAGAGGGAAAGTGTGGCCATCAGTCAAAAAATTGACCCCCCAAATTTTTACACTTAGGGATTCAGGAGACCTCGAAACGTCGAGAGATACAAAAAAGTTGGGAGGGCGTTTTCTGTATGCGTATATGTGTAGTGATCACGCTTCTGTTTACCCAATTTCAAGTTTAATAACTCCCGTGCCTTTTTCCCAAAATTCTTGAAATTTGGCAGAAAGGTTTGTGTATTAGGGGCATCTATTCTGTTAAATTTTGGTGGTTAAAAGTCAAAGGAGTGGGGAGATACAGAAGGGTGACGTGTCGTATCTCGAATGGGGTCGGACTAAATGAAGATTTTACTCGTTACAATCTTTTATAAAACTCGTATCTACCCACAAAATTAAGCATTTTATTTTTTATTTTTTTCATTGTATAATAATTAAATAATTATAAATTTTAATTTATGATAAATTCGTTTGAAAAATGGCATCACACACGTGGATGATGAATATGGATATTCAAAAGCCATAATCATATCATGGCTGTTTAAAAAAGCACTCAGATAGGTAATGCTTCCTTTGAGTTGCTATTTGTTTGCCCTGTTATTCTGGATTAAAATCCAGATTTTGTTTTGTAGCCATAGATTAAAACCTAGAGCGTGCTCTGGATTGAAATCCAGGGTGTTTGATCTCTTGCTCTGGATTTTAATCTAAAGCAACAGAGCAAACAAAATGTCATTTAGGTTTTAACAAGGAAAAAAAAGAAAGAAAGAAATCATTTTTCTTCTAGTAGAAGATACTTTGTATGCTAATTGTAAATGAAGAAACTGGCCACTCTGAGAACCGAATCCACATTCCTCAATATAAGCTGCGAGTTCTTCTTCAATATATTACGTTAGATACAGATTAAGATCTCAAAAAAAACCATTTTTCTTATAGTAAAAGATACTTTGAATACTAATTATAAACTCAAACTACCCTCTTTAAGAACCGAATCCACATTCCTCAATAACAAGATACGGGTTCGATTACACTCAAACAGCACTAGAACTTTAACTCATTTACATTCGTGATTAGATTCTAGGCCCTTGATGTAATTTTACAAGGTAATTTGATACAATTAACTGTTAAATTTAATAAAATACATATAAAATTATCAATAGATTCTGCCCTACATATTTTATATTCTGCAGATAAATTTTTATAAGTAATAATAAAAATAGTTGTAACAGTTAACGCCATATAAAACTATTTAATTATTAATTAAATAACATTAAAATTAATAGAACAAGAAACATAATTAGCATATAAAAAAAAAACTTTACGTACCGTACGACTTTTATTATTGGTCATTAACCTAATATGAGAAAGTCATTACCCATTTGGAATGAATTTTAAAACTCTTTAATGTCTTTACCCTTTTATTTAAAGTTCAAAATAGATTTATTAATTAATTTCGAATGATATACATTTAAAGTTCTCAAGAGAATTAAGCATTTTTTTTTATCAGTATAGTGGCTCACATCAAGTTTATTCATTTCTTTGTGGCCTTCTTTGGAATTTGCAAACAGCAATGGAAGAGGGCAAAAAAGAAAATGTGAATTTTTCTTAGAAATTAAGCATTTTTCATTATATTTTTGTATATTATAGTGGCCTGGAATGATATCTTTTAGAAAAATGTTGCTATTTTCACTCTTAGATTGCTAATTTTTTTAGATTTTAAAGGATATACCAAACATTGAGATCCTTGATGAACAATTGCATGAAGAGTAGTGTCTTCAAAAGGCAATGTAATACACAAAATACATTCTAAAAATTTATGTTTAATGCCTAGTTAAAAAGTAATGATGCTTCTTTGGAAATCTGAAAATTCAAACATGAATTACAATAAGATTTTACTTTTGTGAAGGATCTTGCTTACAGGATCCTTTAGAAGAAAGATCTTTAAGCATTCTTGTGGATATTTCGAATTAAATTGTTATTCTGATTCTACATTTATGCTGTCTGATCCCACTGAGGTCAAACCTGCAACATAATGGGCAAAATTGAATTATATAATTCATAGTACATTGGTATTTTTTGTTAACAAATCAATGAATATACCATTTGCTCACACTCGCAGCTTAAAGAAGGCCCGTGTAAGTTAACTCTCGGCTCTTGGAAAGGCCCTATTTATATTTTGCAGTAAGCCCTCAAACTATAGAGATGATTTATAAAGGTATAAAGGATGTATTAAATGCCCACAAATGCTAATTCCAAATGATATAGATTCGTTGCGCTCTTCAATTTTTGAGATTTCGTGCCTTAAAGAATGGGACTAGGAATGTTGCTTATGATGAACGATCACGTTCTATTCAGTCTAAACTTTAAAAAAAATGGTTTAGAATTTTACATAAAGTTTTATGGAAGAAATTATGCTCAATACATGGTAAATCTATCCAAAATGGAACCTGAATAAAACGGAAACCTTGCCTAAACGGAGCGATTTCGTACGTTAAAAAAAAGGAAACCTGTTGAAAACGGAAACCAGACACACATTCGGTACTGTGGGATTCCGGTTTACACAGGTTTACATATTTTAGATTACACATCAAAGACCTTTCTATGAAATATGAAAACAAAAATGGAAGAAGATCGGTTTCTTGTATGTTTAGCATTCTTATACATGTAAGATTATTTAAATAATATAAAACATTTCATATATTATTTTCAGCCGAAATCGAGAAAAAAGATGCCGAACCTTTAAAGAAAGTATTAAAAGAAATGGGTGGATGGCCAGTTATCGAAGGTCCCTCTTGGGATGGTTCCAACTTCGATTGGATAGACACACTTATTCTGTTCCGAAAATATGGATACAGTCACGATATACTCCTTGATTTATCTGTAACGCCCGATTATAGAAATAACACCAACCATATTGTCGATGTAAGTGATTCTAATATGGCACAAGTGTCGTTTAAGTGTCAATAAATTAATTGAAATGCCAATCTTCTTCTTTTTTTTTCAGTTGGATCAAACTTCTTTGGGGATGCCAGACAGAAGTTATCTGTTAAAAGGTATAAATGACACTACAGTATCTGCCTACTTTCGTTTGATGGTGGACAGTGCAGTATTTTTGGGTGCAGATCGAGAGAGAGCGGAAGAAGAACTTACTAAGAGTTTGAACTTCGAGATAACATTAGCAAACGTAAGTTTATTTACCCCGATTTTACGCTGTTTTGCACGATGGAAACCGTTCGACCCCCCCTATAACACTGTTGATTATTCCGTTTTATATGAATTCCATGTTGTACGAGTCACTTAGATTTTACATATACGTGTGCCGGGCTGTGAACGGCTCACGTATTTGTAAAATCTAAGTGACTCGTACAACATGGAATTCATATATAACGGAATAATCAACAGTGTTATAGGGGGGGTCGACTTGTAAAACGGGGCTTACTGTATACAGCGTGTATATATAAAGTATTTATGTGAACGAATATTGAATTTATTTGTTATAATTTACAGTTCTCTCTTCCAAGAGAAGAAAGAAGAAATATCAGCAAGTTATATAATAAAATGACTGTTAAAGATTTAGTAAAATTAGCACCTAATGTAAGTATTATGTTAAATAAATATGTAAATTTTATGTTAATGACACATTAAAAGGTTTATATATATATAGAATACATGAAAGCTAGAAGAAACACGTGTAACATGGGGTTAGACTACTTTTTTTTTGGCCTCGATTTCTCGATTTTATACCCATTAAACTGCATGAATTTCAATAATAATCGTCTCTTATCGATAAATTAGGGCGAATTTTTAGTAAATGACGCAAGTTAAATCTTATAATGTGATGTTAACGACCCCAAATTATCTATCACTCACTAAAATTTATCAATACAGCTCTCTTTCAAGATACCTTTCTAACAAGCAACCAAGAATAGATTCAGGACAGTTAAAAAATAAACTTTCTTAAGCTAGATCTTTTAAATTTCCAAGAACTAACAGACAAACAGACAGGCAACGTAAATACAACGATATCTCTTCCTTTAAGGTGTCAAAATATACATTTCAGGATGTTTGGATTATCAATCAGTAGATCGCGAACTATATAATAAATGAGAATGTCGATTAAATAAGGAAAGGTTGGGAAGTTTTAATGAAATCTGGAATTTTTACGGTTTATTGTTTTCTATTTAAAAAATCCTTCACCTAAGATACTTTTTACTTCATTTTCTTTTATTTTTTATGTCAATGTCCCATCTTAAAGGGCAAATTTGCATCGAATTTTTGCTTTTTTTTTTTGTTACTTAATCCTCAATTTTCCTTTAGTACGACAGGTTAATTTTATTAAAAAATTAGCATAACTTGTTCTCCTATTTGTGCAGTGACTTTTATAATATATTTTTTTTTCCTATAGAAAATATATATTCTTTTAAATTTTATTTTTCCTAAATTAATTCCGAAATTTTTCCTGGTGATTTCTTGATAGTAAATTCCATTTATTCTTGCTTATTTTTGTAAAAAACAGACTATAAATTATAAAAAAAAATGTTTAAGGAAAATTTTAATCTTAATTTTTTACATTTTTTATTAAAAAAAACTAAGTTTAGAGAAGAATCTTTCTGTAAAAAGATAAAAGTTGGTTGAGAAGCTCTAACAATTATTTAATTCTTTCAATTGTAATTTTAATATAAATTTCGAGTTAAAAATCATTTAAAATTAATTATTTACGAAATATTATAAATTTTATTTAACTATAAAACATTTAATTAATATAAATATTTTTATTAATGTGCATAAAAAGCGATGAAATATTCTTGTAAAAGTTTAACGTCTCAACCTGTAGTTTGCGAATCCCAAACAGTATTTTTTTACACTTTTACGGAGTTTAAAAGTTATATATCAACTGAAATATGTTGAAAAACATTAAAATATCCAAAATTTTTGCATAAATGTTAATATAAAGCTGAATTAATTTAAAGTATATTAAAATTCTTGTGTTTCAAATGATGCACATATTGAAGATTTTACTACTTTCTTCAACAAATTGGAAGAATATTTCAAAATATTATGCTGCTACTTACAGTTTTTACAATTATACACGTGTACATGCGACTAAACACAGTAAATTCGGTAAATTTAACTCATAAAACAAACTTCAATATGGGTCCTCATCCCTAATAGATTACGTGTGAGGGCCCCTCACACGTTTCTTCCCTTCGTGAGCCACGAATTTAACATATGACATAGCAGAATATGCACACTTACAACGTACAATATATCACAACATACAATAGAACAATGGTTTAATGAAGAATATAATAGTGATGGCTTGAACAATGTAACAAACCTATAAATTATTATTATTATTTCTAAGGTTTTTCACAATAAAATTATTAAATTGTCTTTAAATTATTAATTTATATCTTTAAAAACTTGTTATAGATAAATTGGCTGAAGTACTTCAATGGTTTACTCAACGATCCTATTACCGAAGACGAACTTGTGATCGTAAATGTTCCGGAATTCATTCGTAAATTCGGAATTCTCATCGAAGAAATCGATAAGACGTAATTATAAAATGTTACTAATTACTTTAAACTTACCTATAAATAAATATTTACCATTTTTTTTTCATTTAATTAAGTACTTTAGCTAATTACATGCTATGGAGAATGGTCGGTCAGTCTATGTCCATATTAACTAAGAAGTGGAGAGATCGTGCCCAAAAATATACATCCGTAATTACTGGAAAAACGAGAGAGGAACCACGTTGGGAACAATGTATGGGCTCTTTAACTGGTAGTCTTGGTGTATCGTTAGCTTCATTGTATGTCAGAAATCATTTTAAACAAGACAGTAAGAAAGAAGTAAGTGCATACTTTACTGATTTAGATAACTTATTCATGTCTTTATATGCAAAATATATTATTAAAATGTATGTAAGGAGTCGAAAAATTGTTTTGTTCACGCTTCTTAAGCAACGAGAGGGATGAATTTAGAGTAGGATACAAAATTCTCAACTTATCCCCTCTCACTAGAGCCAGATTTCAGGCTAAAGAAAACGAGCTATAGCTTAGGGCCTTAAGTTCTAACTGTACAGAGCTATAAACAAAAATATACGATGCTTTATACTAGTGATTTAACTATACAACGAAAGAAACTGGGTTATCCCTATCACCTAAAAAGTGGGACGTAATAGATGTTAGTATGATTTATTTCAAACTGAATTAAAGTACAGTACATATGTATTTCCACCTACAAATTGTCTACATTACTGACTTTTTTTAACATGTTTAATACACACTTCAGGCATTTGTTCACTCATATATTGTGATTTTAAATGTATATAAATCCAGTCTTTCCTTACCCATTATTATTTAGTGAATAAGCAAGGGCCTCTTGTATATTATAGCTCAGAGCCACAAGTTTAAATCTGGCTCTGTTTTTCATACCACTTTATAGGAGATGAAAAAAAATAAAACCTTTTTTTGATTAGTTTATTTTATTCCCTCATACATTTTAGTAACATAACCTTTACTTTTCTATGTTATTTTGTAGATGTAGAGCCTTGAAAAGTGGTGTAAATTATTCTGTAGCATATATTTATATAAAATTATATAATATTTCCTATATAATTTCTAATATTTTTCCCATATAGGCATTAGAAATGGTTAATTATGTCCATAAAGAATTTTTAAAAATACTGGAAGAGATCACCTGGATGGATGAAGTTACTCGTGAAAAAGCCAAAGCAAAGGTAAATTTGGGGCAAAAATTGAAATTTATTTACTTCATAAACAAATTATAGACACATTTAAAAATACAAATAGTAATTTCCTTTAAAAATTATTTATATTTCTTTTAACAGGCAGGCACTATAAGATCATATATAGGTTATCCAGATGAGTTACTAAATGACACAAAGATATCATCACTTTATGAAAATGTAAATGAAAATTTCTTTACAAAATTATAATTAAAATAATATATATATAATATATG